CCCAAAGTGATATACAAATTTAATGCAATCCCCATCAAAATTCCTATGACATTTCTCACAGAAATGGAAAGAACTATACAGTTATTTATCTGGAATAACAAAAGACCACGAATAGCCAAAGCAACGCTGAGCAAAAAAAATAAAGCTGGAGGTATTACTCTACCTGACTTTAAACTATACTACAAAGCTATAATAACCAAAACAGCATGGTATTGGTATAATAACAGAGACTCTGATCAATGGAATAGAATAGAGCACCCAGAAATTAACCCACGCACTTACTGCCATTTGATCTTCGACAAAGGCATCAAGTCTATTCACTGGGGTCGGGACTCTCTCTTCAGCAAAGGGTGCTGGGATAACTGGTTATCCATTTGCAGGAGATTGAAACTAGACCCATATCTCTCACCTTGTACTAAAATCAACTCAAAATGGATTAAGGATTTAAATATACACCCCGAAACAATAAAACTTATTAAAGAAAACATAGGAGAAACCCTTCAGCAAATAGGGCTGGGCACAGACTTCATGAATATGACCCCAAAAGCACGGGCAACCAAAGGAAAAATAAACAAATGGGATTATATCAAACTAAAAAGCTTCTGCACAGCAAAAGAAACAATTAACAGAGTTAAAAGACAACCAACAGAGTGGGAGAAAATATTTGCAAAATATACATCCGACAAAGGATTAATATCCAGAATATACAAGGAATTCAAACAACTTTATAAGAAAAAAAACAAACAACCCAATTAAAAAAATGGGCAAAAGAGCTAAATAGGCATTTCTCTAAGGAAGACATATGAATGGCCAAAGACATATGAAAAAATGCTCAACATCACTCAGCATCCTAAAAAAGAATGAAATACTGCCATTTGCAATGACATGGCTGGACCTATAGAGAATTATATTAAGTGAAACAAGTCAGGCACAGGAAGAGAAATATCACATGTCACTTATTGGTGAGAGCTAAAAATAAATAAATAAAATTCACACACACACACACACACACACACACACACACACAAACTGGCAGGGGGGAAGACATAACAATTGCAATTCCTTGAAGTTGATATGACAAGCATACAGAAAGGACGTTGTTGAGAGGGAGTGGGGAGAGGGAGGAGGGAGGGATGTTTTGGGAATGGGCCACAATAATCAACCACATTGTATATCAACAAAATAAAATTAAAAAAAAAAAAAAAGAAAGTAACATTTGAGCTGGGATACATCTTTTCCGATATGTGAGGCATATATTGTCAAGGGCATGAGGTAGAGACCATGTTACTTGATTTAAAGTACACTAAAAAAACAAACAAACAAACAAAAACTAACACTATAAAAGCTCTGCTGCTAGAAAATGCCAGAGGAAAAAAAACATGGGGCTTATTCACAAGCCCAGACACTGATTTCCCTTGCTATGTAGCTGCTAATTAAAATAGCAGCTAACACCCTTCAGTGGTTTCAAAAGTCTTATGAGTGTGGGCCATCTTTTGAAAAACATAAGCTCCTATAGGGTGCCAATTCTGTTTCTTTAGAATTATAAGCTTGAGTATTCTGCAAGTGTTATTTGATGGTGATACTCTCAGGCCTTCCAGTGGTTTCAAAAGTCTTATGAGTGTGGGCCATCTTTTGAAAAACATAAGCTCCTATAGGGTGCCAATTCTTTGTTTCTTTAGAATTATAAGCTTGAGTATTCTGCAAGTGTTATTTGATGGTGATACTCTCAGGCAGCAAATTATAAAGTCCCTTATTAAACTACATCTCAAAGACAAGAAATAATTTTCCCTCTTCTATATCTTCTTATACTATAAAGTAGAGCCCTCTCTACAAAGTCGGCAGTCAAATAAATGACGCTGACTGACTGAATAAGCAGACAGGTTATTTCTAAAACAGGACAACCGTTCCCTTATAACAAAAGTTTATAATACTTAAATAAAATGATTAATCACTATGTCACTAAAAAATACTTACCAAATTCAAAGGTTCACCTCTAAAACAATTAAAACAGCCAGAGATATCACATAATACAGGAAGTAAATAAATTTACTTTAGCTGACAAGATTTACTACCCTAAGAATGTATGTCATACCCTAAAAACTGCATTAGACTCTGACACATTAGGAACTCTAAACAAGTTCCTAAACCAGCCATATGTTACAATGCCTCTGGCTCTAACATCCACTTACAGGAGGAAGTAATGTCCCATAGAAACACTAACAGGGTTGTCACAGAAAGGAACATGTTCTATGAGCAGCTATAGCTCAACTCAACCCAGCGAGTGCAAAACGACTGGACAGAATAGCGCTCAGAGGGAAACAGGAGAACAAAAGGAAAGCAGTCTCCAGGAAGTAGACAAATTAATCATCTGTTTTTTCCTTCATTCTCTTTTTGGGATTTTTTGGTTATGCAGGTCATCTTTCCTCAAATGACTACTTCCAGATACTGATCATAAAGGAACATGTAATTGTGATTTCTGTGTTGTGTGTATTTTACCAGAATAAAACAAAACAAATGAAGTTAGTGAATGACAGGTGTGGCATTTCAAACCAGGGAAGGGCAAAAACGTATTACTCAATAAATGATATTGAGACAACAACCTATTCCCCTGGAGAAAAACCAGGGTTTAATTCCTACCTCCACACTATGAATAAAATATATTCCACAATGACTAATGATTTAAAAGGTACAAAATAAAACCACAAAAGCAGCACTACAAAAAATAAAGTTGACTCCTTTCATAATCTTGAATGGGGTTAGAGGAATGGAGGTTTTCTTAGCCATGACTCAAAATTCCAAAACTAAAAAGAATAACAGTTTGCACCGCATAAAAATTGAAATCCCAAGCCAGTAGCAGAAGCATTTGAGAACCAAACCAATTTACCCTGCAGTATCCTCAAAAATATCACAGGAAGCAGTTAGCTAATACGTCTGGAACTAAAGGTGAAGGGGGTTAGGGTTGGTTGTAAGCTGTCTCACACAAAGAAATATCTCTAAGTGCCCTAACTCACTACATGCTGTTAGGCAACGGCCCCAGGAAAAAGTCTAGAAGTTTATTCTCTGGAGAAGGTAAAACAGAGTAGACTAGAGACACCAAGTACAACTGCAGGCATGGAAACCACATAGACTGAATGCTAAATGCTAAGTTCCCCAAACACTGCCAGTCAGATCCTCAGCTTCTAGGGAAGAGAATGGGAAAGCTTTTCTCTGGAAAATCTGATCAGTGCAAGAGTAAAAACTTGAGGGTGCTAAGCTCCCCATCAAATAACCCACTCAGATCACCTTACAACTGCTCCCAAAACCCCATTCCACAATATACATGAATTCAGAACATTCCCACACAGACCACCATATACCAATTCTATCTTCACACTTCAGCCTGAACAGAAATGTATTTAAAATAGGTACAGGTAAACCCTTGGAAAGGTTATGCTCTGATTAACCATTACCCTTAAAGAAGGCTTCCCTGAAACAAATATTTCCAGCTTCCCTTTTATTAGGAGGCAATGACAACGGAAAGACAGTACTATGTAATTTCTTTTCACAAGCAAAAAAATATGAGTATAAAAGGGGAGGTGGGAAAGGAGTCTGCATGAACATATAGGCCAATTTCAGGCAGATCAGTTTTAGAAAGGGTATACACAGAAGCTAAGGACCTAGAAATTATTTCTTAAAAACTATGTATACCAGCTATACTCCCAGAGATGTGTACACTCCAGTTTAAAGGCCAGTGTTCTTGGGGCCTGTTTCTCCATCTCCACTCCTCCCACATCCTCTTACTTCATATCATAAAACTTGTTAGATTAACCAAGATCTCATCCATGGTTTTAAATACCTATATCACCCACTTATTAACAATGTTAATCTTTCCATCCCAAACCTTGCCTTTAGGAGTCAGATTTATATAATAAACTGCCTGCCTCTGAAACTATTTAGATGCCCCATAGTTATCTAAAATTTAACACATCCACAATGGAATTCTTCATAACCATTCCTTGCCCTGAAACCCACTCCTACCTCCAGTCTTCCCATCTCAGTAAACGACACCACCATCCATCTATTTGCTAAGCCAGAACCTTGGAAATTTTTTTAACCACTTCATTGAAGTATAATTGTCATGCCACACACTGCACTTGTTTACCAAGTGTACAAATCTGATAAGTTTTGACAGATGTACACACATCACCACAATCAAGATAATGAATATATCCATCATCCTCCAAAGTTGCATTTACTAAGCCAAAACATTGCAAATCTTTTTTTCTTTCATCACTCACATCCAGACT